ATAGCGCAGTGAAACACAGAAACGTGCGGATGACCCTAATTGTGGGGCAAAAAACAAAAGGCGGACCTTGAAACCGAGTCGACTGAAGAACGAACGACTAGACGACGGCATTGGTGGCGTAACAGAGAAGATCATCCCAGCTTCGTCCTCGGAGAGATCGCGTAACCCCGCCCCTGTCAAGCAAAACACGGGTTCAAGTTGAACCTCGGCACGTCGATCTACACGAACTTCCACCCATTCATCTCCTTGCAATGTTCTCCCTTCAAGACGACCTGTATGACTACTTGCAACGGCTATTAAACGTTCTGATTCTTCAGATGAGTCACGTTGAGGAAGATCCTTTCCTGAACGTAATCCAGCAGATTCTTCATCTCCAGTAGGTTTTACACCTTCTGAAGAGCGAGCCCATGTCCAGGAAGACGAGTTTTTTTGATCTTCAACGAGATTATGAGAAATGCTTTCGCTTCCCCTTACTCTCCCAGTCACCTTAACCTGAAATTGGCTAGTCGTAGACTCATGGGGATTCTCGTAAGAGGCGGAAGATACACCATAAGTTCCTGGTTGATTCGGATCCTTCTCACCTTCACTTTTAGCATCATGTCGCCACCGTCCAAAAACATATGTGCGGGAACTAATGGATTCAGGACCACCAGCAGAAACTTTCGCATCATGATCCTGTGAAGACGACGTAGAATAAACTTGCTCGATTCCCTCTTGATTCCTGACTGATTCCTTTGGTCCGCCGTGTTTCCCGGGATCAGAAGAATCGGAACCTTCTTGAGAGCCCCCACGCTGTTTTCGTGTACCCGATTTAAAGAATGAGAACAGTCCAGATGTTTCATGATCTTTCCTTGGTTTAGAGGTGTCTGTCTCGTCTTCCGATGTGCTACGTGGCACTCGAGCTATCAAGCGAACTTTAGGTGTTTCCTCTTCAGTGGCTGGTGATGGTAGATCTTTTACAGGAGTTCCCTTCAGGTGCAAAACAGCCTTCTTTCCTGTGCCATGATCGACTTCGGCTGCCGGAGCAGTGGGTGTTTTTACCTTCGCATCCCAGGATTGTCCGTGATGGTATGCCTTCGCATGATCACGCAACGGCGCCGATGGCAGTTCAGAATGACGAGTGGTGGATTCGAGAGGGCCTTCGTATGACGTAGAAGCTATACCATAAGTTTCAGGCCGAACTCGGTCCTTCTCAACAATCTCTTCATCGCCTTCGTGGCGCCATCTTCCAAAGGAGTACGCGCGGTGTTGAGTTGGTTCCGAAGTGATGGTCGCCGCTGGTTTATAGCTCACAGGGGCAGGTGCCTTGAATGGAATCTGCTCGATATCTCTTTGGCGATTCACGTCCTCTAACGGGCCAGAATACTTTCCAGTGCTAGGATATTCAGAGCCCTCCTGCGAGTCCCCACGCTGTTTTCGTCCACCCGACTTCCAGAATGAGAACAGTCCAGATGTTTCATGATCTTTCCTTGGTTTAGAGGTGTCCGTCTCGTCTTCCGATGTGCTACGTGGCACTCGAGCTATCAAGCGAACTTTAGGTGTTTCCTCTTCAGTGGCTGGTGATGGTAGATCTTTTGCAGGAGTTCCCTTCAGGTGCAAAACAGCCTTCTTTCCTGTGCCATGATCGACTTCGGCTGCCGGAGCAGTGGGTGTTTTTACCTTCGTCACATCCCAGGATTGTCCGTGATGGTATGCCTTCGCATGATCACGCAACGGCGCCGATGGCAGTTCAGAATGACGAGTGGTGGATTCGAGAGGGCCTTCGTATGACGTAGAAGCTATACCATAGGTTTCAGGCCGAACTCGGTCCTTCTCAACAATCTCTTCATCGCCTTCGTGGCGCCATCTTCCAAAGGAGTACGCGCGGTGTTGAGTTGGTTCCGAAGTGATGGTCGCCGCTGGTTTATAGCTCACAGGGGCAGGTGCCTTGAATGGAATCTGCTCGATATCTCTTTGGCGATTCACGTCCTCTAATGGACCGGAATATTTTGCAGTGCTGGGATGATATTCAGGGCCCTCCTGCGAGTCCCCACGCTGTTTTCGTCCACCCGACTTCCAGAATGAGAACAGTCCAGATGTTTCATGATCTTTCCTTGGTTTAGAGGTGTCCGTCTCGTCTTCCGATGTGCTACGTGGCACTCGAGCTATCAAGCGAACTTTAGGTGTTTCCTCTTCAGTGGCTGGTGATGGTAGATCTTTTACAGGAGTTCCCTTCAGGTGCAAAACAGCCTTCTTTCCTGTGCCATGATCGACTTCGGCTGCCGGAGCAGTGGGTGTTTTTACCTTCGCATCCCAGGATTGTCCGTGATGGTATGCCTTCGCATGATCACGCAACGGCGCCGATGGCAGTTCAGAATGACGAGTGGTGGATTCGAGAGGGCCTTCGTATGACGTAGAAGCTATACCATAGGTTTCAGGCCGAACTCGGTCCTTCTCAACAATCTCTTCATCGCCTTCGTGGCGCCATCTTCCAAAGGAGTACGCGCGGTGTTGAGTTGGTTCCGAAGTGATGGTCGCCGCTGGTTTATAGCTCACAGGGGCAGGTGCCTTTGAATGGAATCTGCTCGATATCTCTTTGGCGATTCACGTCCTCCAATGGACCGGAATATTTTGCAGTGCTGGGATGATATTCAGGGCCCTCCTGCGAGTCCCCACGCTGTTTTCGTCCACCCGACTTCCAGAATGAGAACAGTCCAGATGTTTCATGATCTTTCCTTGGTTTAGAGGTGTCCGTCTCGTCTTCCGATGTGCTACGTGGCACTCGAGCTATCAAGCGAACTTTAGGTGTTTCCTCTTCAGTGGCTGGTGATGGTAGATCTTTTACAGGAGTTCCCTTCAGGTGCAAAACAGCCTTCTTTCCTGTGCCATGATCTGACTTCGCTGCGGTAGGCAGTGGCATGTTTTTAACCTTCGTTCAGCTTCCCAGGATTGTCGTTGATGTACGCCTTCGGGTCGCAATGATGCAGTGCAGAGCTGCGCCCGAATGCGTAGTTCTAGAATGACGAGTGGGATTCGGACGACGCCTTTGTATGACGTAGAAGCTATACCATAGGTTTCAGGCCGAACTCGGTCCTTCTCAACAATCTCTTCATCGCCTTCGTGGCGCCATCTTCCAAAGGAGTACGCGCGGTGTTGAGTTGGTTCCGAAGTGATGGTCGCCGCTGGTTTATAGGTCACAGGGGCGGGTGCCTTGAACGGAATCTGCTCGATATCTCGTTGGCGATTCACGTCCTCTAACGGGCCAGAATACTTTCCAGTGCTAGGATATTCAGAGCCCTCCTGCGAGTCCCCACGCTGTTTTCGTCCACCCGACTTCCAGAATGAGAACAGTCCAGATGTTTCATGATCTTTCCTTGGTTTAGAGGTGTCCGTCTCGTCTTCCGATGTGCTACGTGGCACTCGAGCTATCAAGCGAACTTTAGGTGTTTCCTCTTCAGTGGCTGGTGATGGTAGATCTTTTACAGGAGTTCCCTTCAGGTGCAAAACAGCCTTCTTTCCTGTGCCATGATCGACTTCGGCTGCCGGAGCAGTGGGTGTTTTTACCTTCGCATCCCAGGATTGTCCGTGATGGTATGCCTTCGCATGATCACGCAACGGCGCCGATGGCAGTTCAGAATGACGAGTGGTGGATTCGAGAGGGCCTTCGTATGACGTAGAAGCTATACCATAAGTTTCAGGCCGAACTCGGTCCTTCTCAACAATCTCTTCATCGCCTTCGTGGCGCCATCTTCCAAAAAAGTACGCGCGGTGCTGAACTGGTTCCGGCGCGTTAAAAACTTCTTTGCTTGACGTTTCCTTCGCTCTGGCACTGGTGGAGGTAGATGGAGCGGACAACTGCGGTTGCGAGGCACCGTTGATCCTTCCACTTGGTTGAGATGGCTTTTCGCTAGCGTAGGTTTTTGGAACTGCGTCCCCATCAGAAACTGGTCGCTGCTGTCCCTGCTGTGAGGAAGGGAAAACTCGTGTTATGAGTCGTGGGGGCGGCGCATCTTCATCTTGTTGTTTCGTTGAGACTATTTGAGAGCTTCCTGGATGATATACGGCAGAATACTGCCTGATGTTTTGTGCAGCAAGTTCGTTAGCAGGCTCAAGTCGTACAACCGAAGAATCAAGGCTGCTTCGGAAATTATAGTTGGAAAGATTTGGAGCGCCAACTTCTTCCCGTCCTGGGTGCCGAATTCTGCTAACACGTGGTATGTGACTAGAACCCGAATGCTGAACGTTAACAAAATAGCGAATTGGATGCAAGTCCATTTCTTCATCCGGTCCTAGTCTTCGCACAGACGTCACGCCATTGATGCGTTGAGCTGGATCGTAAGTTCGTTGTTGCCGACGTGGCTGCCGATCGAGTCGCTGATAATGTCCAGCATGGTAGACTTGCACAGTGTCATTTATAGGGAGTGGTTCTATATCAGCGCGCCTTTCTGTGGAATCAACGAAGGTGTTTGAGAAAGGGCTGAGACGGTATGGCAGCGAATACGATCCTGATGCCTCATTGTAGGAATAGCGAGGACGCTCAACCGAAGTAGAAGCGCTCTGAGAAACCTTCCAGGAGTATGAAGGAGTGAATCTCATTTGCTGTGAACGGTCGAATTCATTTGAGGTGGGTGTATAGGCAGATGAACGTTCTGATAGATAATAAGCAGCAGATGACGGCGATTCAACAGGCGTGTAGACAAGCTCATCATCATCATCAGATGGCAGACCGTTACCCACCTTGTCGTTGAGCTTTCGCTTTTCGCTCTGACCGGAAACCTCGTATGTCACGCCGGGAGATGCCATCGGCTGCAAATTGGTTATATTTAACATATAACAAAAAAAAGATAAAATAAAAAATGGGAAAGATAACAGGCTTCAATTTTTAAGAAGTGCTGCTTCAACGGTAATCCACATAAGACAAAAAATCGTATCTAATTTTTGTTTGTAACAGGCATACATTCAGCCTCGAGCGAAGGAAGAACCAAAATCCAACACTTAACATAAACAGGGGTATTAGAAAAGCTGCTTCACAGCTCTCTAACCAGTTTATGCTAATGAAGCGCCTTCAAACTAACTAAAATGCCAACGCGAGCAGTAACTTCAGGTTAGACAACATTCAGTCCGTTTCGTTGCCAACACTGACCGCATTAATGCCCCACTTCTACCTGCCTCACCATCTATATCCAAAGCAGCACTTTACCCATTCTACTTGACATATTTACTGATATTCCTGAGAATGATCTTCACTGAAAAGAAGTTTGCTCTCCGTCTCTATAGAGCAGGTCGTAAACTTTCATAATTTTGCGCCTTCCAGCGTTCTCCCACTCTGCCACCTAATTAGCATCAACGCCCATTTACCTCATTCAATTATTTTCAAATATCAAGTCGGAAAGAAAGTTCTGCAACACTTCAATGAATTCTTTTGATCAGCGCCCTGGCCCTGCGTGACCACCTGTGGGCTGACCCCGTAATTCTACTCTACAGCAGACCCACTGTCTCAGTTTTTATGATGGATCTTCGCGGTAAATGACTCATAAACGCCAGTATCCGTCATGTCGCTTCCGATTTTTCTCCACCCTGTGCAATGAAGGAAACCCACTGGTTCATCTAAGCTGCCCAACGTAAACCATGCACATAAGTTTGATGAACCCCTCAACAGGAAAACTGTCAGCAGTGGCAGACGAGGTTGCATTGAAAAAGGTCTCAATGTGCTGCTCGTAGGGCTGGAGAGGGGAAGGGGGGGGGTGCTGCTGGATAAATGCACACCAGTGATGACTAGCACAGTGTACTCTTACTGACTTCCAGAGATGGCCGGTGCCACATGTGAACTTCGCCTAGAAAGGCCGAACAACTTTCCACTTCACGACAGCTAGCGCTCGCATGTGACGAAAATGGCGTCTAAAAAAAATTCTGGATCTCGTTTGAGGTATTCAGCTCACTCACTGGCCTCACCAGCTATTGACTACCGCTTACTTACGGCACGCTTACTTACGGCTCAAAAGTAAAAACTGATAATTGAGATTTACTCAGGGGTGAGATCGAGATCTTCCTCTCATCGTAGTCGCCGGAATTGTGGTAGAACAGAAACGCCCAGCAGATAAAGGAGCTTCCAATTCAGAACCACCTTCCATGCATTGCAGGATTTTTTCCCCAACCTTACAGTAATGTCGTGACCATAGACCTACAGGGGGGGGGGGCAAAAAAAGTCATTCCGGCCGAGTCACATATGAGCGAAGTTTTCGCAGCCCAGACAGAGGAAGTGGATATGAGTACCAGGGCGGAAGATACCCAAGATCTTCCTCTATAAGCAGGAGCCGGCTGCCGCCATTCACCTTCATGTACACCAAAATATGAAGTCATCTCCAGTCGCGGCCTGAGTGGAGAACGCCTTTGGAATTCACGTGGCCTCCAAACAGCTGCGGAACTTCTTGAATGGAATCACCCATGGATAGCTGCCCTCTCATCGTAGTCGCCGGAACCGGCTACCTGGAGACCAGTACTCTTGATCTGCAAGACCTCAACATCGAGCAGCTCCGGCAACGTCGCTACGGTCCAGGACATCATCTTCACCCCATTCACCAAGGCGCGGGTTGATGGTGTGGACCGGCCGTACCTGGAATGGATGAACCGATATTTTCTTCGTGGGCCCCAGACTGAGGGTGTGCGCTGGTGGCTACATCGAGCAACTCGAGGAGAATATCCCATCTTCATGTCGTCGCCCGTACCTTCTTGGAAACTTTGTACTGCTACAGGATTGGGTGACAACACATTTAATCGAAGGGCGTTGGAAAAACTTTCGCCTACTTGGAATGGAAGAACGTTGAGTACCTGGAAAAGATGGAGTATTTAAGCGGGGGTCCTGAACTAAACCCCCTCAATTACTCGGTTCGGGCGGAGCTCAACAGGGTGGTCTACAGTGGCGGAGAAATCAACGATCTCGCTCAACTCCGGTACCCACTCACTTTCGCGCGGCCGAATCTCTCGATGGCGCTCCTCCAGAAGGCTGTGGCGGAGTATCATTATAGTATTTAATGTGCTCTTTAATATGGTAGTAAAAATGTCCGATAAAAATTTAATAAAGTGTAACTTATAGCGCCTTGAAAGTCATGGAGGCAAAATGACTTTTTTTTGGCCCCCCCCCCTGTAGACTGTTTATTGTAAGATTTCCGAAGCATTTTTCGCTGTGTTTATCGTGATCAAAAAAACTTATTTAGGCAATGATACGGACTATGACAATCATAGCAACCGTTAGTTCTGATTGAAGACAAAAGCATGCTGAAAATAACCCGTACCTCACGAGATCCCAATTCATTATCGGCATAGTGTAATGGTGAGACGTGATCGCTGCCAACTTGCTCTTTTGCAACTGAAAAAACAAACGTCAGTAAACAAATCGCCAAATCACGTAAACTGCTTTGCAAAGATCAAGAAAAAAATAGATTGATTGCCACAGAATTCAGCACTAATCCACTACTACTAATCCAAAAACTCAAAAATATTTTCCCGCTGAAACTCCGCCCGCAGAGGTTATTCAGTGCCCGGATCACGAATACGATAGTCATTTTCAGCGCTAGCGCCAATTCGGCTCCACCACTATTTCACCAAAACTGATTAAAACTTCTGATTAAAACTTTTGTACGGGGGTTAATTGACTGATCACGGATATTACACTCGTTTCTAACGCTGGGGCCATTTTGCACCGATAGGCGCTAAGGCGCTACTTTGGCGCCATCACATTTTCCCACCAAAACCGATGAAAACTTGTTTACAGGGGTTAGTGGACATTCTGATTACGAATAGGGCGTTCATTCTTAGCGAGGGCGCCATGTAGGACGCTCCAATCATCCGAGCTCTGCTAAGGCTGAGCCCTGCGTGAAGGAAATCACTCCTTCTCGCATCCGCCCTAGCAGTGAGCTAAAACCTGCTGGTGTCAAAAAAATGAATGTCGTTTTCGTAATCAGAGTATCAATCAACCCTACTAGGTAAGTTTTCATTGAATTTGGTGAAAAAGCAGTCGCGTAAAAGTGACCACTTGGCGCGAAATGGCACCAGGGACAAAAGCGGTTGTCATATTCGTTAGTAGGACGTCAAATAACTTCGGGTGGCACCAAATTGGCGCCAAACGGCGCTAGCGCCAAAAATGAGTGCGATATGCGTGTCATACTTTGCTTATAGATGTTAGTTGGAAGAAAACCGAAAACATCCATAGGCAGAATTTCAGCGAAAAAAACCCTTTTGTTTTGGGAGTAGTAATAGTGCTACTAAGAGACAGTCATCCGAAATAAACATAAAACATTTAGGTTGAACCTACCGTTATCAAGGGAATGTGTAAGACGGGCGCTACTAGTACGCTGTACCGTTGCATTTGTTGGTTTGTCGAACATCTGTGAAGCCATTTTCGTTTGGAATTGGGTGCGGCCTTGGTAACGGAAACGAGCTGATCCCCACCGGAATAGAGATGATTTCGGTTTTTCGTCCGGTTGAATAAGCCTAAAGAATACAACTCAGAATGAGCACAACTACTCACTTCTTTCAAAGTTTGAGAATGACCAACCTGAAGAAAGTGTGATGTTCAACGGCAGTTTTCCAGATACGTTTAGCGTGAGCATAATCTGCTACTTTGTAGACAACAGTCGCCTCCTTTTTGTCAATCTAGAGGTGTTCGAATGGGTCCATCAAAAGACACACCAACAACATTTGGCTAATTTGGCTACATTACACTAACCTCTCCAGCTTTCAGCTTTATAGCAAACTGATTTTTACGGTAGCTGATTTTAATTATGCCCTGCCAGGGAAACCTATTTACACGAATTTGGTCCTTATAAATATAAATGCCATGTGCACAGATTCCAATCCCAACAGGAACATTCTTATTGTCCTGAAAAGCGAATGGCTCTTTTTTTGGAGTATTTTGTCAACAACCACCAATATCCTTGACTGTTATGTAAAAATCTACCTTCGCATTGAAAACAAATATTCCGTACATCGTTTGCTGCTTACACGTGTCCAAATACAGATTTTCCGCCTCAGCTGGCGTCAGACCCCTGAAAGATAGGGTTACTTACAAGCAGAAGGGGCGCGCTAGCACTAATGATTCAATTTTTTCACACTTACCCTCTACTGGCCCACTCCTGGTACTTCAGGCCATACTTTGACCAAAACTTTCCCCATTAGATCCGGCCAAAACTTCGCCTACTGCCTTCTAAAGAAGCTTTGAGCCCAAACATAGCAGCCACTAGATGCGAAAGGCATTACAGGCGCTCGGTTTGCAAGCCATTCTTGGCGCTGGCGCCTGTAGCGCTCTTAGCTGCAGTTTTCGCATCACACAAACGGGATAATCGCGTTCAGGGAGTCAAAATCCAACTCATATTAAGTCCCTAATATATTTGGTGTTGTTAGATGTCCTGGGAATGAGGGTTTGTGGCGCGGGAACCAGGCGAATCCATGCCAACGGGATATTACATTTCCATTCAGGGGAAGGGTCAAATTACCCCAAGAGAGGAAAGTGCAGCCATCTCTACAGCCGGAAAAATCTTCGGTCAAAACCTGGCTTGAATTTCCAGGAAAGGGGCACTTAAAAGTAAACGGTGCCAAGTTTTCTAACACCTAAAGGCAAATAACAGTAATTCCAAGAGGAAAAAAAACAATTTTTTTCAGTAGGGAAAAACGTAAGACTGACTTGTGCTCCTTGTGCTTCTGGGCTATCATTTGGAGAAGCTGTTCACTATTTTGAGGAGCAAATTTCGTCGTCCGTAAATATTCTTCATAATCCGGAGTTGGCCTAGCATCGCCATATTGCGCCTGTGCGACCAAAGCGCCTAATGTAGCATGTGTATCAATTGTTGCTGGAAGCCTGTAATACTATCTCTCTACAGACTTCTGAAGACGCATCGATACCGCTTATTTTTAAGAAGAAAATATGGGCAGGGAAGAGAACGTACCGTCCACTGCATACGTCATTTCGCAACTGGAGGAATAGGTTGTACCGTGCATGATCGTCGTTAAGTGAAGATGGCGCGGTCGGATAGAATTTGACCTCATAACAGAACTCCCACGGAAGGCCTGAAAAGAACACGATTACATAGAAGAAACAAGCACCTTTAGTAGCTAAATAGCAATATTACAATTGAGACGGACGTCGTTATTGACAGTCACTTGGAACCCAGTTAGGCAGCGTTCAGACTTCGCGACGGCAGCGCTTCGGTCGCGCGTTTGACGCGATCGATGCGCATGCTTTCAACTGCATCGATCGCGTCGAACGCGCGACCGAAGCGCTGCCGTCGCGAAGTCTGAACGCTGGCATATCAACCTAGCGGGCATCCATAGAGCTGGCTTTGATGTTCATTCAACAGCAGCCAACCTGCACACATGCATGACCCCGACTCAGAAACATGGGGAAGGGGATGGTGCTACAGTGCAGGAGCACGAAGCCAGCCGCGGCATCAAAGAACGAGTTGACTTGGAAAACACGAAACGTTACTTCCCAGCCTCGACATCGCAGTACAAGTTGCTTTGGGAGTTGGAGTCGATGCGCAGCGCCTCCGCTATATTCCGGTGACAGCGGCGCTGAACGTCGACTCTACCTTCCAAATAGTTTAAGTGTGATTCGATTATCTACAGTATTTTGAGACTATAACCTTCTTAAGAAGTTTTCCTTCCCAAGTCAACTCGTACCACAAGTTCGCGACTGGGCAGTAACGTCGCACCCTCACTACGGAGACTTCTAGAAGACAAAGTACAACATAAGCACAGAGCAGTGAGCTTCCAAGCGTCTCGATAACGATGGCAAATTTGATAATGCAACGAGAGAAAAGGGGAAAAATCAAAAAATAGAAGGGACCGACTCTGGACCGACTCCCGTTAAAAGGATAAAGGATAAAGTCTTCGCCGTTGATCAATCCCTTTGTGGGATGCGGCACGCATTCTACTTCCATTCAGAATCGTAGTGGCTTATTGAATGCGATGTGGCCTATACAATGACTTGCGGGGCCATGTACAAGTCAGTGTTTTATCCTCCCAGACGAATCTGGATACTAATTTATCGCCCCCAGAGGGTAGAAGGCTTGGTTGGCCCAGGCAGTAGCCGATACGGAATTCCATCCCCGGACCGTGCGCGTGGTGAGCGCACCACTTGTCGCTACACCACCTTCGCCCTCTACTGTTTGTTAGGCCTTGGAACGAAGTCAAGTAATAAGCTTCACGCCTTCCAAATACTCCTTTCAGCTTCAACATTTATGCTCCAATGACAATCTGAACCCTTATACTTTCGCCGTTAGGTAGGTTTCGTCTGGATCACAAGGGAAAATGGTGATTTGTATTTTTTGGATGCCTACTGTTAGGTTTCGCTTGAAAAATGTCAGCCCCAGAGGGTGAAAGATCGAATCTCGACAAAATCTATTCAATAGAAGATGGAAAACAATCACCTTTGAGCTGCCTGAGTATTTTCTTGTCGTTGTATAGCCAATTTCGTGTTCCCTCGGTGTCATAAAAGCAGAGAGAGAAATACTCGCGCTCTTCGATAGAGAGATCAGCACTCACTAATGCAAAGAGTGCTTCTCCGTCTGAGCCTCGCTGAAATAAACGAATGTGTCGACATCATTAACTTCGCCAGAAAAATGCACTCTATTCGTTCCCTTCGGAAATTTCTCCAAGTCTTTTTTGTAAAGTCCCTTCGGAAATTTCTCCAAGTCTTTTTTGTAAAGGCAATCAACTCAGTTAATCGAGTAATAAAAGAAGCCGACGGGGCAAGATAAGTCAGTATTACTCGCCCTGGTTCTTTCTAAGGGAACAAACTCCAACAGTTATTCACAACCACAATCCAGATTACACACGAGAATTTTCTATGTGAAGCTGAAGATGGCAAAGACCCCTCCGGACCCTCAACTACCTTAACCCTTACTTATCAGCACTGAAAAATGGGAATTGATAACTTTGTCTATATCGTATCGAAGGGCACACAATCTTGTTCGCTGCGGATGCTCGGGTGCGGCAAGGAGCTGGGTTTAGCGCGGTGCCAGCCTGTCCTCCACCAATTCCTGTCCACCCCAGCCTTGGTGGAGATCGAGCCGGTGCCACGCCAAACCCAGCCCCCTGACACGACCCAGCATCCGCAGCGAACAAGAATGTAATTCCACTGTCTTTCCCATTCGATACTAATGATGTTTATATCACGGCTGTTTAAAATGCAACAAACAGCGTCAGCGAAACCGCGCGTGACTTTAAAAAACTTGGCACGCGACTCAGTTTTAGAAACAATCTGCAAACGCGAAAACATTCGCAATGAGAACATGGTTTTCTTCCAATCTTGACAGAGTGCAAAAGCGAGATAAAATCATGGAAAAGTTTTCTCCGAGGCAAACAGAAGCAACAGAAACCCAACCCTGAAGTGAAAAAAGTTCATTACGCTCTGAAAGGTCTACCAAATTCAACTTCTACTCACAACCGTAGTGTTTTTGCATACGTTTTCAGTCCAAGCACTCGATATTTGTCCTTCAAGACAAATGCGGTACCGTTTTACCGACTACCGAAACATTGAGCGCCCAGATCCCCATATTGCGGCGCGAGTTTTTTTTGTTTTTTTTTTCAAGCTCAAAGAAATGAAGCACTAGGGGAGAGGGGGAATGAGCTCGCCCTTAAAACTGGCAACTAGCCAGTGCTGAAAAAATTTCGAAGAGGTTCACGTAACCGCAACCAAAACGACTTGAGGTGCTTCGCTTCAGCTCCTTTTGAGGTACGTAAATTTCTAGGTTTCGACAGTACTGCCTTCCTCAGAGCCTGAAAGGACCGAAGCGTTTTATGACTGCGCGACCAAACGTCTCCGTCACCTTCGTAATGTTCGAGATCAACACAGGTCATCGTCACATTATGGAGGCCAACGAGGCTCCAATTCGTAATGAGGAAGATTTTAGGGTCGGGGCAGAGGTTTCGGAGTGGGAATCTGCACTTGAAGCTCTAGGGGTATTTTTATGCAGGTCAGCAATCTAAAAATGAATTGGAGAGAAGAATGCCTCACAACAAAGTTTAAGGTCTAATATAATAGTACCCCGAATAAGGAACAGCGCAAAGCGATCCCACTGCCGACATAATCTACGAGTGGTCTCGGAATCGGACTGTCTTACAGTGACTGTCCCTTCTTTCAATTGTGTGACGACCAATGTGGGAAGCTGTGGCGTAAAGTTGTCGTTTCAACACACTCAACATCATACATCTCAATACACCTCTTCTGAATGCAGCGCTTCTTCAA